CTGCCTGAGTGAAGAGATGCCTCTAGCTTCAGTGGGCCAGGAGCAAGAGGCAGAGCTGAAGCCCAAGGTCGAGGGGCTTTCACACAGCCCCTAGACCCTGGCACTTGGAACTCGGACTTCTGGCTTCCTGAACTGTAAGAGAATAAACTTCTGTTTGTTAGGCCATCCCATTTGTGGTATATTCCTGTCAGAGCGGCACTAGGGAACCAGCACAGTGAGCCCATGTGAATCACTGTAGAACCGCACTCCACAGTGTGTTCAGTGGCTATTTTTTTTGGGAAGCAGATTTCTAGGCCTTTCTTCCAAAGTACCTCTGGGTGGACTTGAACTTCCAATCTTTCTGTCAGCAGCTGAGCACATTCACCGTGTGCACCATCCAGGGACTCCAAGGCTACACTAATTAAAACAGGTAACGGTCAGCCAAGTCAGAGGCGGGTTCCAGGGAGGTGGACCCAGACACTGATGTCGATAGACACTGGGCTTTGTTCAAGGGGCAGGGGGTGTTTCCACTTGACAAATGACATCTGGACAGTTGGTTAGCCCTTTGGGGTGGGGACAGTTCCCACTCCTTTATTCCTCCCAAAATCAGTCCTAGATAGACAAAAGGTTCAAAAGCACAAGGTGAAATTACAAACAAAAGAAAACATGACAAAATTTTTGTGATGTGTGGAAAAAAACATCTCTAAGCATGAAAAATAATTTTTTCATTTAAATATCTGGGGATTAAGAACCCTGAGAATAAAGTGGCTAAGACACTTGCCTGCTAACCAGACAGCTGGCGGTTCAAACCCACCAGCCACTCCTCAGAAGGAAGGTTGGGCAATCCTACTTCCGTAGTGATACTGCCTCGGAAACCCAAGGAGGGGTTGCTATGAGTCGGGTTTGACTCGACGGCACATAATAACAACAACAAGAAGCAGCAGAAACTTCTGTAAACAAAATGGAAAGATAAATTTGGACAAAAGATTTACAACGTAAGTGTTTATTGTTGTTTAGTTGCCACTGAGTTGGTTCTGATTCGAGAGGACCCAGGTGTGCAGCGTAGCACTGCTCCATACAGTTTTCACAGCTATGACCTCTCAGAAGCAGATTCCCAGGTTTCTTCCGAGGTGCCTCTAAGTGGGATTGAACTGCCAACCTGTTGGCTAGTAGTGGAACACTTAACCCTGCCACCCAGAAGCTCCTTAATTTACAGCATACACATGGATTATCCCTATTTTAAAAATAATTATTATATATGAATAAGAAAAAAGCAAAAAAAGACCCCATTTGAAAAAAAAAAAACGAATCAGTTACTTAAAAAAAAAAAAAAGCAATAAACCTAAGAAAACCTCAGCGGCTGAGAGGAACAAAGAGACAGTAGTCACCACTTAAGTGTGGTATGAATGAAAAGAATGTTGATTTGGGTGACTGGAGGGATGGTATGGAAAGAGTCTGTGACCAGAATGATGACACTGGGGAAAGGAAAGACATTGAAATGTGCACATAAGATACAGATGACAGAGGCAAATACTAAGTACATGCACAATACTGCTTTACCACTAACATCAAACACCAGGCTACAGATAAATGCATAGACAGGGGAGAAGATGGGGGCAGGTAGGTGAACAGGAATATACCCTAGGCGAAGGATACAGTTGGCTGAAGATAATCTCACACATGGACTTGTGCTGCAAAATTAGCCACATACATTGCAGAAGCAACAGAAGGCAGAGTTGGAGGAGCTTTTCAGAGACAACCAAACACCTTGAGAGAGAGAATCACCGGGCCTGCAGGCTCGCGACCATAGTTTCAGAGGACATCATGCTCAATTGGCACAATACAGTACATAAAAATCTTGCTCTGCATCCTACTTTAGTGGGTAGTGACTGGGTCTTAAAAGCTTTCGAGCGGCCACCCAAGAAGCAACTATAGGTCTCCTCTCATATGGAGCAAAGAAGAGTGAAGAAAATCAAAGGCATCTAGAAACAATTGGTCCAAGGATAAGATGGACCATGAGGACCTCAACCTTCATGAACCTGAGACCAGAAGAACTAGATGGTGCCCAGCGACCAATGCTAACTGCTTCGAAAGGGATCAAAATTGGAGATCCTGGATAGAGTGGGAGGAAAAATGTGGAACAAAATTAAAAACCACAAAAATGACCAGAATTACTTGTCAGTAGAGACTGGTGGAACACCCAAGATGATGGCCTTAGGTTACCCTTCAGGCCTAGAAGTGGACTCATTTCCATGGATTGGCTTCTCAGCCCAACAGTAGAAAGACCTACATGCAGAACACCTACCCCAGAGTGATGCACCCCTTAGAGCAATCAGCCATGAGACACCAGAGGGGCAGCATTCACATAGAGGGAAAGCTGGACAGACAGGAAGGCATAGGTAGGAAGGGCACAGGAAGGGGCTGGTCACAGGAAGGGGAGAGGAGGAGAGTTTTTTATGGGATGGTAATCGAGCCTGCTGTGTAATTAAATGTGCATGAACTGTTGATATAAATCAAATTTGATTTGTAAATTTGCACCCAAAGCACAATTATTTAAAAAAAAAAAAAAAAAGAATGAAAAGTGGGGTCCTCAGGCCTCAGATAAGATCAGGTGACTTCATAGGTGCCGCCTGGCATTTCTGTGGGTGGGTGGTGGGGTGGCGGATTGGAATCTTCCTGCCCAGTGTGGGTAGGGTGGTACGGACCCAGCCTTCCCAGAATAAGGGGATTCGGCAGATTACCACTGGGCATGACTTTGGATGCTAGGTCTGGAGGGTGGACTTGAATGGCAGGACACGTGGTCTGCTGAGTCTGGAATGATGGCCAGACTCTCTATGAGCCTGCTGGCTCCCCTGGGTGGCTGCTCCACGCTCCCTGGGAACCTCCTCCAGCTTGAGACCTGGGGCTGGGAAGGAGCATCTTCACTGGCACTATCCCTCCCTGCAACTGTCTGTCCTTGTGAGCTCGGGCTTGCTGCCCTTCTGTCTGCTCACCTGACAAGCTTCAAGTAACAGATGTAACACATGGGTCACCATGAGTCAGAATCAACTTGATAGCAGCTAACAAAAAGACTATAATCCCAACAAAGCCCAGGAGCCCCTTCAAAGCAGACTCCAGGGCTCAGGCTGCCACACACATCTATGTCTACTATCTCCATGCTGACGAGGCCTGCTTCTCTGCATTCCGCTAAAATCCTAGTACAGAGTTCCTGAGCCACAGAGGGGCTCAGGTGATGCAAGCGGTCTGCAAACGAGCCAGGGTGTGTGTGTGTGTGTGTGTGAGAGAGAGAGAGAGAGAGAGAGACGGTGCCTTAGTGTGCCGGGACTGCTGCAGCAAATCACCAAGTTGTTGTTATGTGCCGTCGAGTCGGACCGACTCATAGCAATCCCTCCTTGGGTTTCTGAGGCCGTATCACTACCCAAGTAGATTGCCCAACCTTCCTTCCGAGGAGTGGCTGGTGGGATTGAACTGCCAGCCTTCCGGTTAGCAGTCAGGTGCCTTAGGCACTATGCTACCAGTGCTCCTCACCACATATTGTTATATGCCGTCGAGCCAGAACTGACTCATAGCGACCCCTCTTTGGGTTTCCGAGGCAGTATCACTATGGAAGTAGATTGCCCAATCTTCCTTCCAAGGAGTGGCTGGTGGGATTGAACTGTCAGCCTTTTGGTTAGCAGTCAAGTGCCTTTAGTCACTATGCTACCAGAGAGCACATATTGGGTGGTTGTAAATAGCAGAAATTTATTCTCTCAGTCCGAAGGCTGGAAGTCCTAAATCAAGGTGTAGGCTGGGCCATGCTCCCTCTGGAGGCTCTAAGGGTGAAGAATCGTCCTCTTTTCCTGGGCTTGTGGCTGCATCCCTCTAGAGCTGCGTGCCTGTGTCTCTCTCCTCCTCTTCTAAGGACAGTTGTCATTGGATTCTCCAGTGGTGTATTGCCTAAGGCATGTGACTGCTAACCTCAGAAGGAAGATTGGGCAATCTACTTCCATAGAGATACGGCCTCCAACACCCAAGGAGGGGTTGCTATGAGTTGAATCGACCCCATGGCAGTGATTTTTTTTTTTTTTTGGTTTAAAGTCCCTAGGCCCAGGGGAGCTGTGACTGTCTACTTCCATAAAGATTACAGCCTTGGAACACCTTTTTTTTTGTGTGTAAGGTTCCTAGGCAGCATCAACGGTTTGTGGCTGACTGCTAACCTAAAGGTTGGCAGTTTGAACCCACAATGGTACCATGGAAGAAAGGCCTGGCAATCTGCTTCTGTAAAGATCACAGCCAAGAAAAGCCTCCGGAGCAGTTCCAGTCTGTAACACGTGGAGTCACCATTGAGTCGGAATCAGCTTGATGGCAGCTGACAAAAAGACTACAATCCAGGATAGTCTCATTTCAAGAGCCTTAACTCCATCACACCTGCAAAGACCCTCTTCCCAAATGAGGTCCCATCCACAGGTCCTAGATTAGGATGCAGACATATCATTCTGTTGGTCCCCACTGAACCCAGCATGATTTTTCTCTCCTTGAGCACCTATTATGCCTATGGACAAAAGGATAACTTCTGTCTTATGGTTTTGGAGGCACAGAGACAAGTCAACCTCACCCCAGCTGACTTGTGCGCTGGGGTCAAGAGACTGTGGGGAGGGGGCAGCTGGCTCAGCCTCAGAGCTTCCTGGAGGAGTGAGTTCACCTGCCCAGCAGTCATAGCTCTGAAAACCACCTCCCCTCTCCCCTGGCCTCATTTTTCCCCATCTGTGAAACTGGCCTGCATCGTGAAGGAATGGAGGCACACAGAGTGAACACGTGGTTTATTCGTGATGGGTGAGTACTCAGGCAGTCGCAGAGCCAGGGACTATGGGAGTGGCGGAGGCAGGGCTGAGGGTGACAAGGTGGGTTAGAACTCCACCTTGCAGGCGGGGAAGGTCTCGTCCTGCATGGCCACCGTGCTGTTGCTGCCCAGCACTGTGAGGCCCAGTGCTTGCTGCCTTGCATGTGTCTCCTGGTACCATTCGTGCATGGCTACCGACTCGAAGGTGGGGATCAGGGTCACCTGCGTGAGACAGACAGCGACAGTGAGGGGCACCGCCTGCCCTTTCTCAAAGTTGAGGCTCTCTGGCTTCTCCTATCTTGGAGCTCATCATTCAGCTCCTTTCTCACCCTCCTGGACATCTGAGGGGTGGCCACCTCTGTCCCCAAAGCCCCTTTCCTGCCCCACGGGATCACATACGACCCCACCCCTCAGCCGCACCACGCTCATTCCCACCTCTGGCCTTTGCCTCACTTTCTCTCTGCTCGGAGCCCTCTGAGGGCAGAACATGCACTGTATATAAGGCTCTGTGCACCCCATTAAACACTCCACGGCCCACCCAGAAACTAGGGCTCCTCCCTGGGCCCTGCCTGTGCCCCTTGCAGTTCCAGCTTCGGTCTCCCTGCAGCTTCTAAGGACCTCAGCCCTCTAGCCCTGGGGTCCACTCACCATCTTTCCAGCCCCACAAACACTGTACACCCCACTGATATCCCACCTCCCAAGCTCTATGAGGGGCCAGCTGGGCATCACAGCTACAGGGACTGGTCCCTTTCCACCCAGGCTTCCCCTGGAACCAACCAGGGGTGGCACAGGAACCTATGTCTGCCCTCATAGGCTGTGTGGCTCGGGGATGTGGTCTGACAGATTAGCCCTATTCCTGTCTCTGTGGGGTAGGTGACGACCATGCCAACCTTGCACCATGTTCAACCTGAAAAGGCTGTGGTCCACTTCCACTTCACCCTCCCCCCACAGCTCCATAAACTGCACCACCCAATCACTGTTTCAGTCACCCCCAGAGGTGCTGCTATGGACTGAGCTGTGTCCCCCAAGAAGATACACTGGACCCCTGTACCTGTAAGAATCACCTTATTTGGAAAGAGAGTTTTCTTTTTATCTGTTAAGTCAAAGGTCATACTGGAATAGGATGGGGCCTAACCCTAACCCCTCCTGAGTGCTGTCATGTAAAAGGGAAGGACAGACAGACACACAGGAGATGAGATGCCATGTGAGGACCCTTCTGTAAGTCAAGAAATACTGAGGGATACCAGAAATAAAGGAGTCCTGGAGGACCCTCCCCCGGGGCCTTGAGGATCAGCGCTGCCTTGCCGACCTCTGGATGTGGACTCTCAGCCTTCCAAACCAAAGAGTAACTGTTCTCTAAAGCCCCCGTGTTGCGGCACTGTTCTGGCCACCCAGAGACTGAGAGGGGCGCCCAGAACCTATGACTGCGTGCTGCACTCAGGAAAGCCCACCTAGTCCCTCACCTGCAGCTCACGGTCCCACTGCTGCTTGCCGGCCAGCAGCGCATCCAGCAGGGCCCGCATGCCCTCCTCCTTGCCCTGGTCCTGGCCGCTGATGACATAGCAGAGGGCGCGCACCCGCCGGAAGAACTCAGTATCCACCAGGCGGGCACTGCTTCCACTGGGCAGGTAGGCCAGATCCAGGTAGACAGGATTGCCAGGTGGGGCACTGGACACACTCACGCGGCTGCCTGCTGTGCCTGCCGGAGAGAAGGACAGATCAGCAGCTGAGACAGGGGCCTAGCAGAAGGGCTGAGGGACAGAGGGCGGGGCTAAGAGAGGCTCCTGGGCGGCACCGCTGCTGCACCAGCCATGCCCACCTCACTGCTGGCATGGCCCTCCCCCTAGGCGGCACTTGTTCATAGATTTCTACTTGCTCTGCAAACATCTTCAGCTCCTCCTCTGTGCAGGATGGATGTCAAGCTAGGCTTTGAGATGAATTGTCCCCAGTCAAACACCCCGAAGGAGAGAGAATGAAGCAATCAGGAGGACTTCCTGAATGAAGGGGCCTGGAAGGAGCCCGGATGCAGTCCTGGAACACTGCTGCTTCCACAATCAGCTGTCTATTCAGTTGAAGGTCATTTATCCAGCTCTACTGGGCACCATGCCCCAGGAGCACAGAGTGACCTCAGCAAATGAAATCCCAGCCTGCCTTGCCATAGGTCCCTCCCAAGGGCAAGGCAAAGGGAGGGAAACCAAGTGGGGGTGGGAGTGACTAGGTTTAGATGGGAGTGGCCTTAGGTTTGGATGGGCTGCACTGAGACAGGTGGCTGTCCTCTTGAGCCCCTCAGAGCCACTGAAGGCTGACCAGACCCTCAGTTCAGGGCCCATGTGAGGTGAGCAGGCCAACAACCTTGGGACCACCAGCTCCCACAGGCCCTGAGCAAGCTAATCAATAATCTACAGCTGGAAGGACGCAGCTGGCTCTTGGGCACAGAGTCACTTGGCTCAGGTGTGGGGCAGATGTGGGTGCTTACAGAACAAATGAAACCCCAGGAAGCGCCCCGCCCCCACCTCAGCTTCATCCACTCAAGACCTGAGACAATGACAAGGATCTGGAAGGGAACCACAGAAGAAAGCCATGTGATGACATCATTTTGAGGGCACTGTAGCCCTCTGCTGGCAAAGGCTGACAATGGAGGAGGGGGAGGTAGGCACGAGCTAAAGGACAGGAAGGACAGTGTGGACCTGGAGTTGGGAAACCATGGCTGCAACCAAATCAGCCCCACTGGTTTGTGTAAATAAAGTTTTGTTGGCCCAAAACCATGCCCACTCGTTGATATAATGTCTATGGCTGCTTTTGTGCTATGACCCAAACCAAAAACCCACTGACATCTAAATAGGTCTCTTGGCAGGGGGTACGCCACATCCTGGAGAGGGGCTCCCAGCTGTGCTCTGGAGGAGGCCCAAACCCAAACCTAACCCACTGCCATCAAGTGGATTCCGACTCACAACAGCCCTAAAGGGCAGAAGAGAACTGTCCCATGGGGTTTCCAAGGCTGTAAATCTTTAAGGAAGCAGATTGCCTCTTCTTTCTCCCATGGAACAGCTGGTAGATTTGCACCAATGACCTTTTGATTAACAGCTGAATGGCTTAACCACTGCACTACCACCACTCCTTCTGTGCTGACAGCTGGGTTAAATACTGACTCTCTGGCCCTTTCCAGAGCAGCCCACTGGCCCATGGCTGGAGGACTGGGTGATCTGAGGTGGGTGGGGACAAGAGCTCTAGCAACTGAGACCACAGCCTTACTGGCTCCTCACTACAGCCCAGAAGGCTGCCTATGCCACCGTGGTGGGAACCCCAGATCCCCAGAGGCCCCAGAAGCCCATGGGCACTTCTTCAGAACCTGCCTGAGAAACCTAAGAGGCAGCCATTTAGGTGGTGGCCAAGCCAGGCCATGGAGACAAGGGCCAGGAGATGCCTGCCAACCAGGACGTGCCCACCCAGCCACCCTGTCCTGTTTTCGGAGCCACCTCCTGGGCACTGGGAAGAGGGCCTGGCCAGAGCCAATGCTTATTAACTGCAGAACATGTTACTGTTACTGCTGCCCTCGCTGTAACTTCTCTGGCCAGCCCCACCTCTAAAGCTGAATGGACCAGGGGCCCCACTGAATGGCTGAGACAGGGCAGGCAAGTGTGCACGTTTGGTGCAACACACACACCAGGTTCCTGAGACTCAGCTGGCAAAAGCAATGTGACTTATCTCACTAATGATGCTTCATGTCGATTTCACAGAGAAGTGATACAATTTAGGTTATAATGAGCAGCAGATAAGACCCCCCTGAGCAGTGCAAATAGTTAACAAGTGGGGCTGCTAACCGAAGGGTGTGAGGGTCACATCCACCCAGAGGTGCCTCAGAAGAAAGTCCTGGTAACCTACTTCCAAAAAGAGCAGCCACAGAAAACGGCATGGAACACAGTTCTACTCTGACACACATTGAGTCACTGTGAGTTGGGAGTCGCCTTGGCAGCAATGGGTGTCTTTTTTTTTGGGTGAGAAGAGTTAGTGCAGCAGGCCTGAGGCTACTGCCCTTGAATGCTGCTGGCCGGGCCCACCTGGGTCCGGAGTTTGGGGACATGGACCTCAGGAAAGTTCCTACCATTTCCTGAACGGGTGAAGGTGGCTCACTGGGCCTAGACTGGGCACACAATGTGGTTTATGCTGAATTCCCAGGTTCCTTCTGGGGGTCTGGGATTCTGGGATGGACCAGGCAGAGCTGCCTACACGACCAGCCTCCCAGTAACAATCCTAGGTGCTGGCTCTCTCAAGCTTCCCTGGGAGTCAACACTTCACATGAGTTATTACAGCTCACTGCTGGCCACCCAGCAATGTCACGGAAGAAAGGCCTGGTGACCTACTTCCATAACGATAACGGCCAAGAAAAGCCTATGGACTCTATGGAACACAGTTCTGACACCTATGGGGTCGCTGCAGGTCAGAATTGACCCGGCTACCCACGTGGGTTTGGGATTTGGTGTGACTCTGTGGGGAGAGGACACTAGAAGCTTGCGCCTATTCCCTGGATCCTGCCCTGCATGCTTCTGTCCTTTGCTGACTCTGCTATGTCCTTTGTCTGTGAGAAATCACAGCTGGGAATACAACTGTCTGCTTGGTCCTCCCAGCAAATCACCAGACCTGGGGCGGTGGCGGGGGCCATGGCATAAATGTGTTAAAGAAAACACAGTCACTCCTCGTTCCTGATTCCGTATTTGCAAAGTTCCCCACTCGCTAAAACTTATTTGTAACCTCAAATCAGCACTGTGATGTGTTTGCGGTCACCTGTGGACATGCAGGTTCCCAGCTGTGATTGCTAATCCAGCATTCATGGTGGCTTTCTAGAGCACTGTCGCTGAATCAGTCCCAAGTTATGATGACCCCATGCAAGACAGAATAGAACACCGCCTAGTCCTGCACCGTCCCTGGGGGTCAGCTGCAGATCTAACTGCTGTGCTCCAGGGTTTTGCTGGCTGAGGTTCAGAAGCAGATGGCCAGGCCTTTCCTCTTAGCCCACCTTAGTCTGGGAGCTCTGCTGAAACCCGTGTGGCATCATAACAACACACAAGCCTCCATGGATAGATGGGTGGTGGACACACCTACGGGGCACTGGCCAGGAATGGAAGTCAAGTGTCGCCCATGGAAGGGGTGGATTCCATTATTGAACTACTCAATGTCAGAACACTTTCTAGAACACAGCCACCACGAATAACGAGAATTGACCACATACTGTTAAAACGGCCTTTTCTGGTTTCTTACTTCCTAACAGAGCTAGAGATGACTGATGTGTCTCATGTTACATTTCTACTGGGCAGGCAGCTTGAAGACAAGGGGAGGGCAGACGCTTAAATGCTGAGGCCAGTGCTGCCACTTTAGGGGAGAAACTGAGGCCCAGAGAGAGTGGGGCATGGCTGAGGTCGCAAGCAGACAGGGCTGGGAGGACGTGTCTATGCACCCTCCTGGTACTCACCTGGAGGGCCTCGAGTGGTCGTCTTGGGAATGGAGACCTTTCTGGACAGGGACGCCCGGGCTGCCTTGTCACTGGGCTCACTTCGGGTGCTGAGTGGCCGGCTGGCTCGATCCCCACCAGCCAGCCCCTTGGTTTTGGCAGTACCACCTGTTGTGGCTTTGGGGCCAGCGGTACTGGGGCCCGTGCGGGCCAGGGGCTTCCGGGCACGGCTAAGGCTCTCCAGGCGCCGTGCCTGCTCAGGGTCCACCATGCAGACACCAGGTGGGGCAGGCAGCGGACGAGGGTCCTTGAGCGGGGCGGATAGCGGGTCACGGCGGCGGTGGGATACACCCAGGCTCTCAGTGTCGTCATCGTCTGAGTCCACAGGGCCTGGGATGGCAGGCAGGGGCTCCGAGTCAGACAAGGTGGGCAGGGACTCGCTGAGGGAGGTGGGTGGTGTCTCTTCAGCCCCTGGGCCTCCTGGGCCACGCTCCTGGGAACGAGCACTGCTGTCGTTGGAGCCACCACCGGGGGAGGCAGCAGCAGCAGAAGGTATGGCCTTGCGGTGCTCAAACTCGCAAGGGGACACCAGACACAGGTCCACATCGTGCGGGGAGGCCGAGCGCCGGGCCCGGGGACCACGCAGCGGGAGGCTCAGACCAGGCTCACTGCTGGCAGGGGGTGGCGGCAGTGCCTGCTCAAAGGACACAGACAAGGACTCATCCACCTCAGTGGAGTGTGGCGAGCCCACCTCTGCGGGCAGTGAGGGCGTGGTCACGGTGGGCGAGGCATCAGGTGCCGCTTCCTCAGCGCGCAGTGGGCTCAGCGCCAGCCGCCCGCAGGTGTCGGCAGGGCCCCCGTGGCCCTGCGCGGCAGGTGAAGGTGTGCGAAGCTGAGGCGTGCTGGCCGCCGACAGCAGCTCCAGCGTCTGCTCCTCTGAGCTACAGCCCTCATCCCCAGCGGCCAGACTCGGGCCTAGCTCCAGGCTGCGCTCCAGGCTGGGTGTAGCTGCCAGTGGGAGCGCTGGGGACATGCATGCTGCCAGCGGGGGACTGGCCTCACCGCAGCGGAAGCTCGGGGGGCTGCGGGGCCCATTCTCCACAGCTGGGCGTGGTGCATCAGGTGCTTTCCGGGCCTTGGCTGACCCTGAAGCCATCACCTTTTTGACATCAGGGGCGGAGGAGACCCCGCGGCGTGCCTCCCGTGGCTGGGTCCGCAGGGTAACAGGTCTGGGGTCCTTCTTGGCATCCCGTGGGGGCAGCCTGGTGTCCTTCTCAGTGCGCAGGGGCTCTTTGCGGGCTGTCCCGGAGCGCTCCCTGCCCCGAGCGCTGTCCCGGGAACCCACGCTCTCCTTGCTCTCCGCACGCCGCGGCCCCTCCAGGTCCTGAGGTGTCACCACTGGTTCGTGCAGGAAGCCCAGGTGCTGCAAGCGGGCCAGGCCCTCAAGCAGGCGCGCAGGAGGTGTGCAGCCTGGGAAGAGCACCCGCACCACCTTCTCAGTAGGGCTGGCCGGCTGCCACACCAGCAAGACGCAGGCTGAGGCCAGCATGCGGTCAGCACTGCGCCCGGCAGCTTCAGAGGCCGGGTGCAGCACATACATGTCCAGCCGGCCCACACCCATCTTCTGGAAGAGCACAGTGGGCTGGGTGGGTAGCGTCCCACGGCTCAAGGGCAGTGGTGGGATGCCCAAGCGGGCCAGCAATCCCAGCGCCAGCCCCACCTCATCTACACCACGCACCAGCTGCGCCCCATCACCCGCTGAATCCCCAGCTACGCCTGTGTTCAGGAACACAACGCCTAGCTCGGGCGAGATGAGATTGCGCAGCCCCTCGTCTCCCCCGCCGCTGGCCGCCGCTGCCTCACGCTCTGCCAGCTTACGCCGCAGCAGGCTGTTGAGGCCTGGCAGGCTGTCAACGCCAGCGTGGGTCACCAGCACTGCATCCACACGGTCCAGGTGTCGCACCAGCTTCCAGAAGCTCGACTTGGGGCTTGAGCCACCGTTGACCAGGATGGTGAAGCCATTGACGGCAAAGAAGGCAGCATCACCCAGGCCGCCGGGAAAGACGTAGCAGCAGGGCCGGGCGATCTTGAGAAAGCCCACGGCAGCTGGAGGCTCCAGCAGCTCAAAGGGCGAGGGTGGCTCCAGCGACTCAGCCACATACTCCAGGAACTCACGCAGGCCCTCGGAGGCCGGCAGCTTCACTGGCGGGTTCAGCCGCAGCTGGAGGGTGCCCGGCAGGCTTGGCAGGTTGAGTGCCAGCTGGGCCCAGTTGCCAAAGGTTGGGCAGGTGATGGTGAGTGTGGGCGGGGCAGGTGGCGGGGGCGCTGAGGCCAGGAACTCCCCAATCTGCAGGCATACCTGGAGTCAGGGGGCCTCCAACTGGTCCCTCACTTGCTCCCCACCCTCTTGGGACCAAACTCAGCCTCTCCCATCTGGTCAGCCCTCTCCTCCTGCCTCTCTCCCCACTGCTCCTCGGATCCTCCCTGTCTCAGGGCTACTGTTCTATAACCTTAGGGCATGGCCCTTCCAGGCCCATCTCTCTTCACTGTATTAATCCCTGACTTCCTCACCTCTACAGCACCGGCTCTGACCTGTGACGTGAAAACATGGCCTACCACTGCTGATTTCTGTCTATCTGTCCCCAGCCAGACTGTGGACCCTGTCCAGCTCCGTCCTTCTGGGACTCTGTATCCACAGTACCTGTTAGGCTTCTGGGAAGTTGGCCAAGCTATGACCTGGTCTCTCGCAGCACACTTTAGTCCATGAGGGGACTGAACCCTGATAACCAGAGGGTGCCCCAATCCCTGCCCCACCTGGACAGGATGAGTCTGGATTTAGAGCCAATACTCCAAACAGGGGGATGAGGGAAGGGATGGCAAAGAAGGCAGGAGGGGGAGGGGGTGTCTTACCTCCTTATCTGCCAGGACCTGAAGGAAGTGACGGGATGAGAAGCCGCCCGTCTGGAGCAGCAGCTCCCCCGTCTCCTCTAGGCAGGGCCCAGCCAGCACCACCAGCTTGTGAGGGGCAGGATCCAGCAGAAGGTTCCGGAGCTGGGGAAGGGAGACAGTATTAAGGGCCCTACTCCTTAACAGTGAATAGTGAAGCCTCCAGCCCCAAATCTATACATAATTCCTTTCCCTTGTTCCCACCACAAGGTCAATAGTGCTTGACCAAGAGATGGGACAGCAGCCTCCTGCTGGGCCCTGTCCCTTTAGCAAATCCCTACTCAGCCTACAAAGCCCAGCTCTAATGCCTCTCCTGGGCTCTCTCAAACCACCTCTCCATCTGTCCCAAATGTGACACCATGGGGCAAGGATGTCTATTTCTAGCTCGTCTCCCCCACAATGAGAGCCCCTCAAGGAACACAGGTGACCAGACTGATCAAAGGAGTCAGCCTGTAAGAGGGTCTCTAGTGAGATGCCCCAGGGCTCTGTCCTGCTCCTCTCTGATGGAAAATAGGGAGAAGAATCCAGACTTCACCGAACCAGGAACATTAACAAGTCAGTGAACTGGGGCCCATGGAGGGACTCTCCTGGACACTAGTGTCTGTGGGGCTGTACCCCCCAGACCTCCACGCCTGCTGGATCTGAGGCAGGAGCGCTCCCCGGCTCCTTCACCACCATCCCACCCCATCGTCACCCTGAAGGAGTGGAGAAGGGGAGGCTTCCTGGGGAAGGTGTCCTGCCGCTGTGGGTCAAGAAGAGGGTTATAAGCAAATGTGGAACAAAATTCAAAATTATGAAAAAAAAAAAAGGGGGGACCAGGTTTGCTGCTCTGATAGAGGCTGACAGAACTCCTGAGACTGTGGGCCCTAGCTGCCCTTCAGGTCTGGAGCAGAACCCACTCCTGTGGCTTCCAGCCAAAAAGACAGGCATGTAAGCTGAACATTTATATTAGGTAGCTATACTCCTTGGAGAGGTCAGTCATGGGAGAATAAAAGGGCTGTGTATGTAAGGGAGACAGCTCGAGGGGGCAAGAGTGCATGGGAAGGAAACAGGGAAGAGGTGGCTATGGGGAGGAAATGGGAGGGGAGCTGTTGCATTGTGGGAGATTACAGTCAATGTCATGAGACTAAGTGTATGTGAACTGCTGTATGGAAAATGAATTTGCTCTGTAAACTTTCACCCAAATCATAATAAAACTAAAAAAAAAAAAAAAAGAGGGTTATAAGCAGAGCGACATCAGGGTCCCAGCAGCCTGCCTCCCCTCATGCCAACACCCTGTACCTCATCACACAGCGACTTGTCCGAGGGGTTGAGGAGGACCAGGGTGTCCAGTGCGTCCCCACGATGGTGCAGGCTCCGCTGGCCTATGAGTGCCGGACCGTGAGCTGGGGTTGGATCTCACCATGTGAGCCCCTCATCCCCGGTCAGGATGATGGGCGGAGGAGCCTTTGAGCTGTCTCACACCAAGACCCAGGTGATCACGAGCCCCACTGCATTGTGCTCTGTGACCGCCAGGGCTGCTCTCTCTGTATGCTCCCAACAGCACTGGTGGGGGGTGTCATCCTCATCCCATCTTACAGAAAGGGACACTAACCTCAGGGAGGGCCAAAGAGGAAGGGCCAATGAGGGTATGCCCGGTGAGGGCACGGTGCCAAGGAAACACAGTGTGAAGGGAGCTGGGGGCGGAGTAGGACCACACTGAGCAGCATGGTCGATTCTGAGACTCAAATCTGTGAGCCTGGGTCCAGCCACTGTGCACCAGGCCCTGAGGCTTTGGAGGCCACAGCCCACCAGAGCTGGTCTCTGATTACCAAACTCCTAACCAAGCACAGGTATTGCCCATTCAGACGGGGAAACCGAGACGGAGAGTCACACATGGCTGCCAAGGTCACATGGAGCGAATGGGATTTCCAGGCTCCTCAGCCCCCACGAGGGGTCAGGAAGACACCAGGACTGCTGGGACAATGAGGCAGCAGGCACTTCCTTCCCCTCCCGTGGTGGCCAGGCGTGACTCAATTACTGGCCTCTGTGGGGGGGCTGGTGACGCCTGGTGTGCTCTGTTCACCCTGGGTCATCCGGTTATACTAGATCCCCGGGGACTGCACTCTCCTCCCCAGTTCCATCTCTCTACTTCCTGGTTTCCCGTTTATTGAGCACATACTGTGGTACAAGGCCCTGTAGAGGGGCCCCATGAGGTTCCATTCCCCCACTTAGCTGCTTCTCACCTCAAAACACCTTCTTTAAAAAAAAAAACACATACACACACACAAAAAAAAACCACCCTCCTCAAAGGGCTCATGACCCTGCCCTCATGCCTTGGTTTCCTCATCTGTAAAATCGAGGTGAAAAACTCTTAGCTTTTGCCTGTGGGCTACTGAGGATGGGGGAATTGGTACTGGGGACACAGGGTGCAGGGAAGGCCCTGGTCTCACCTTTCACAATGCTGGAGAAGGTGGCCGAATGCCGTGACACAAAGACCTTGAGCTGCTCATCAAGGCCGCAGATGCTGGGGTCCACGTCCCAGGAGCGGATGCCTGGTGGGTGGCAGGAGGGAGGTCAGTGGCCTTTGCTCCCAGAATAGTTCAATAACTAGCACCCTGGTTGTTGCTGGTGAGTTCACACCAACTCCTGGCAACCCCACATGTCAGAGCAGAACTGCACTCTACAGGATTTTCAGGGCTGTGACCTATCGGAAATAGACAGGCCTTTCTTCCAAGGTGCCTCTACGTAGGTTCAAACCACCAACTTCTCAGTTAGTACTTAAGCACTTTACCATTTGCAACATCAGTTGGGTGGCACAAAGGGTTAAGAATTCAACTAGCTGAAAGGTTGGCAGTTCAAACCTACCCAGACGAGCCTCAGAAGAAAGGCCTGGTGATCTGCTTCTGAAAGGTCACAGCCTTGAAAATCCCATGGAGCAGTTCTACTCTGCACACGGGGTTGCCAAGTCAGAACTGATTTGATGGCAAGCAACAAGCTCCCGGGGGATGAGGGCTCCAGCCCCTCCCCTTGAACTGCCCCTTCACCCTGCTACAGGCCTGGGGGGTCAGAGCCTGTGTCTTAGGACCCAGGGTGCACTTCAGCAATTTACAGGTAAGACTCAGAATCCCCTGGACATCATCTTAACTTCCCTCCCACTTCCCTCTCTTCCTGCCACCACTACCTCCTCCTCCTCCACCACCACCATAATGGGCTCTTTCCAGCTCTGGGCCTTAGCACCAGCTGTTGCTACTGCCCTCCCCTGCCCTTCAGGTCTCATCTTTCAACTGCTTCCCCCCTGAGAAGCCCTTGCCCCACCCTACTGTCCTTGAAGGCTTTTTCATCCTTACCACATTCCTTACAATAAGCCTCCTTAAAACTTGATCCCCTCCTCACTGCCTTTTGCCTCAGCCCCAGACCCCACCGTGAGCCACAGCCGAGGGTGTATCCTGCCACCCCATTTTACAGGCAATGTGACTCTGGCTCAGAATGTGTCCAAAGAACAGGAGACGAAGGCCCTGGAACCAGCGTGTGGCAAATGATGCCCTGCATCCCACTGGACCAGGTGGATGCAGCTGAACCTGACAGGTGCACCTATGACTCACCTCCCTGGGGCAGGCCTGCCTACGCCCCAATTAGCATCCTTACCGCCCCAAGATGCTCTTCTTGCTCCTGTTTCAAGGATGTGCTCCCTGTCCCCCCTCTAGGTCAGGACGCCCTGACTGCTCCGCAGCCCCCTCCCATCTCCCGGACTGCCCCCACCAGCACGTCGCACGCAGCCTCGCCGCCGGGTCTCCGCCCTCCAGCAGGAGCAGGACCCCGCCCCCGCTGTCAGTCCCAGGAGGGCGGGGCAGCTCGCATCCCCAGAGGGGTCCTGATGGCTCCTGCGATTCCACACGGGGATTTCTGGCTCGGAGAGCGCCCAGAGACCCGGGTGGGGCGTGTCAAGGACACAGGGACCCCAAGATGGGGTCGCGTTAGGTCGCGGACTCCGCTTATAACAGATTCCGGCGTCCTGAGAGAAGCGGTTCCTGGGCTGTTGGCTGCCACGCCGGGGCTCCTACCGGATCCCCGAGACAGCGCGGGGCCCCTAAGGCCCGGGGTGGGGGGATGTGCTGAGACCTGCGGGTTTGGGGCGGTCCCGTCCTTCCATCCTCGCCCCCCAAGTGCGGGCCCTGCGGGCGGGAAGCCGCTGCCCAGATTGCCCAATCGCTCGAGTGGCGGGGCCGGGCCGTGTCTCCGCCTGTGTCCCCTCCCCGACCGCGCCGGGTGGAGGCGGGCGGCAGGGCCCGGGCCCCGCTACCTCCGAGGGGCCTCGGCCTCCCGCCCTGGCCTGCTCGGTGGCGGAGCAGGAAAGGCCCCCGACGTCGCCGCGCCCGCCTTGCCATCTGCAACGGACCCCGGGACACTCCTTCCCCGCCCGGCCACGCTCGTCCCCGGAGCCCCCTGCTCCCCTCGGCGCCCGACCTCGCTCCAGCTCCTCCAGCACGTAGGCCAGCAGCCCCGGGCGCCCGCACTCGCCGCCCACCACAAGCAGCAGCGCACAAGGCGCCTCAGCTGCCCCGAGGGCCGCCACCGCCGCCATCTTCGCACCGCCCGCCGCCGCTAGCACCGCCTGCCCCG